TCCTGATGGGAGGGACCATTCATTATCCACTTGTGTCCTTACTCCCACGTCGACCCTGAGTTCTTAATTGTGCCACCCTTTGACAGCTCTGCACATGTGCAGGCTGGGAACTGGTTACAGAAGCTCCCCTGCCTCACTGCTGTCCGAGCCCGAAGGCAGCTGATGACTGCCAGCCTGCCCTGGCACCATCTCTGACTCTGACACAGAACCCTCATCCAATGTGGCTTTTTGTAATTGACAGATGGAAATTTTGCCAGTGCGGATTTTGAAGTGTCGCCAAGATTTTTTTGTATTGTACCAAGTATGTAGAAAACCACTGGGCTCTAGCGACAATTTATGCAATCTTTCATCTTTGATTTTCTGAACTTAATACTTTGTGATATCTGTGATTATTATTATTTTATCAATGTACTTTTCTGTTTTTTTTTTCTAGTATGTTCACATGAATATACGACAGCCTCTGGTATGTTAACATCACCAAATTATCCAAATAACTATCCAAACAAAATGGTATGCATATACAAGATCCATGTGGCAAAGAACAAACAAATTGCTTTGAATTTCACCTATTTCTCTTTGGAGGAGGACTTCATGTGTCGGCATGATTATCTTGAAATTAGGCAAGTTGATTTCTATTTGACTATATTTATACCTCTGAATAATTAACCACTTCATTTAATGGAACTGTAAGCCAGGAGTCAAATCAATCAATCAAAATAGAGCTGTAAAGTACCGCAGAGGTCTTTCTAGTCCTACCCTCTGCTCAAATAGGGAACCTGATACTATTTTAGATAGGTGGCTGTCCAGTTTTTTCTTTTTTAAAAAAGAACTGTACAAGACTATAATTGTATTTGAAACTGTTTTATGCTGTGATTGTTTTTTTATCCTGTATCCAGGGGTGGGATTCTACCAGTTCTATCAGGTTCTATAGAACCCCTTGTTAACTTTCTAAGCAGTTCGGAGAACTGGTAGTTAGAAGCAATCTCCTTTTGTTTTTTTCCACCCTTATTACATTCTTGGCAGACAGCCCAGACTTCCTGTCTCCGGAGCGTCTGAGACTTTCTTAAAGGGGAAGGGTTGTTTTAAGATTTTTACACTGCTGTTGGGAGGAAATACTTTCCTGGACAATCAGCACTTTGAAGAAATAATTGAATAATGAAGCAAAGCTTTTAGTGACAGGCAACCAAGATGAGTGACATTCCGCAAGGCTTCTTGGCTAGCTAGAAAGATTAACATTCAAATGTGAGTTTACATACTCTTTCTGAGTTTTGGTCTAAAACTGGTTTTTGGTGAAGGTTAATTCTGTGCTTGGTGACGTTTAATCCTGTGTTTAGTGATGGGATAATTTTCCCTATTCAGCTTCAACAAGCAACAGCTACTGTTGTGATTTAATTATTTGTATTGTGTTTGAATTTTTTCCTGCCTCTATCTGGGGAGGGGGTCTTCCTCACTGCTTTAGTACTATCTGGCACTGTCCTTTTGGGGTATACTTCCAAGACGCAGGATGCAAGCTTGGTACTGCCTTTCTGGGGGGCATGTGACTTTTCCTTAAATCTGGATGATATCCTTAGGATATCTTGTGAGGTGAGTGAGACCAGCTGGTATTTTTAAGTGGTGCAAATGGATCTAAGGATTGCTTTTCCTGGGTGTGCTTTTTCTGGAGAGCGTAAATGATCTCTCTGCTAAAGGGTTTCACTTTAGGAGCAAGAGATGGCTGCTTGATAGTTATCACTGCATTTTAACTATTTTCATTCCTCAAGGTACTCTGGTACCCTACCTGATTTGTAACTCCGACTTGCAGGTATTTTTAATCTAATGATTGGTATTTAGGGCAGCTTTTTGCAAGCAAAGAAGCTTTTTGTATTTTTGTACAGGTAATCCTTGAGTTATAACAGTTCATTTAGTGACCATTCAAAGTTATAATGGCACTGAAAAAAGTGACTTATGACCATTTTCACACTTATGACCGTTGCAGCATCCCCACTGTCATGAGAGGCCAGGTGAGGAGAAGCGCCCCTTGACATGAGTGATGTCGAGTTGGCCACACCCACTTAGTCACATGACCACCAAGCCACACCCACCAACCAAGCCATGCCCACATAACCGATTGTTAAAGTCCCACCCCTGCCCGTATCCCATTGCAACTATCTTCTGGTTCTCTAGGACAGGCATATAAAAGAATTTAAGGAAGGGATTAGGAGCATTCTTCCTCAAGATCAAAATACCACAAATTTGTGAAGCCTAACTGATTTCTTCAAAAAACAAAAAGAACCAACACAGAAAAGCTAAGAATTGCATTTAATTTTTTTTAATACAGAAAGATCTTCCCCAGCAATATTTAGTCTTTTAAAAATCTGGTGCATTTACAGTTGTATTGGGCTGTTTATATAGCAGTCTTCCTTTCGTCAACTCTCTATATAATATCATCACACTTCATGCTACATTGTCCAACTGCCGTTGCTAAGAGCTTAGATAAATTCTATTGTACAACAGGCTTCCTATTCCCATCCCTAATAATCAGACAATTATTTTTTGCTGACACAAATTTTGGCAAAAACTCAAATTTATGTGAGCATGAGTGAGTAAGTGAATGAGTGAGCGAGCGAGTGAGTGTTGCCTTTGAGTCAGTTTGTCTCCTGACAACTGCCTGGACATGTCCCTGCATTTTTTATTTTTTGGCAAAATTTCAGAAGTGATTTGGTATTGCCTCCTTAGAGCCCACTATAAGGAGGCAATACCAAATCACTTACAATCACCCTAATGATAGCAAATTCTATAAACCAGTGAAGCATGTTTTTCCCATATAGGAATTAAGAATTATATTATCAGAATATTAAAAAATTATTATAATAATAAAACAATACAAACTAAAATTAAATTAAAAAGTGAATAGAAAGGAGACAAAGTGCAAGAAAAAAGAGAAACAAAAGAGACAAGTAAATATTTAATAAAGGGAAAAGAAATGTATAAAAAGTGAATTCCAACCTTCCTCACAATTATAAAGAAGTTAGTGGCTCTCCATCCCTTCTAAGGTTACAAACAATTTACTGTTTCACCCCATATCCCATCTCTTATCTACAGTATAAACAAATTCATAAAACATAATCTTTTCCTGATTTCAACAGAAATTCCACAGAAGCTTGCCAGAAGTAATATATCTTGTTTTAATCCTGGTCAAATAAACCAACTTTATATTCCTTCCTTTTACTTAAACATTCTTAAATTGGTTAAGTATTGTCTAAGCAACTTTTTTTTGTCTTTGCTCAGTCAGTATATAGGGTTGCCTCTGTGTAATAGAATACATATTCCTTTGAATATGTTCAGATTCCTTCTTTAATCTGTTGCCTTGGTGTATCTAATTTGGTGTCCTTGTGTGCCTAATCACATTGGCCAAATAACTATTCTATTCCAAATAGTTGGCTGGAGTTTATAGAAATGGTATTAAAACTAGAGGTCAAAGAAGATTTTTGTTCTACTAAATAATCTTATCTATATTTTAAATTTTAAAAAATCAGCACTACAGTACAAATTGTTTTAATTTTTTCTGCTTTTATTTAATTGTCTGAATGAGTTTTTAAATTTAAAAGTGTTTAAAAAGAATTTTCTTATTACTAAAGCAACCCATTTGGTGCTTTGTACGTATAGTCTTATTGGAGATTCAAGTTTAATTATTTTCCCCTTTTTTGTATATTGATTTTTGATTAAAGAAATGGAGGTTATGAAACATCTCCTTTGCTTGGGAAGTATTGTGGCTCCTCGTTGCCTCCTGTTACCATTTCCCATGGTAATACCCTGTGGATAAAGTTTGTGAGTGATAGACTTTCAACAAGTACTGGCTTCTCAGCTTATTGGGATGGAACATCAACAGGTAAATCAAAATATAAGATGTATCACATTATTTCTCTAACAAGTAACAAGAAGAGAATATAATTGATATCGTTCATTTTTCTTGGCCATTTTCCTTGCTTTCTTTCTCTTTTTTATCATTATCACCACCACCCCTTTAACTCGTAAACCTGGCTTATTGAGATCTACGTGAGAAGCCATAATGTTCCTGATGTGGAAAAAAACTCAGGCATTTTCAGAAGCAGACTCACAGAGATAGAACACTATTCTAAGAGAGATTCAACGGTGTATGATCCTATACAGGTTAAAAATTGTGACAAAAACTAAGGCAGAAGAAAGTACTCCATTCCTGGACTGCATTTTTAATTTTCTCTCTTTGCATAATGCCATTGCTCATCATTTTAAAATATAATTGCTGTATATTTAGATTCCACAAATCTTCCAAAGGTTGCTTTGTTGGAATTTCAAATAAAGTTGATCAAGACAATTGTATAATACATAGCATTACCCCATTTCTAAGCAGACAAATGGAATTGTTGAGTTGCTTGGCTCAGGGAGAGTGACTTATACATATGCACAGAAACCCCAGTTTATCAAGCAGGATATCCATCATGGCCTTGTCATGAGGTTCTACAGACATCAAATGATTTTTCTCCATGAGACAAAGCATTTTAATGAAATAGGCTATGGGTATCTGGATTCGTCTATTATATGCTTGATAGTTTACCGCTTTAGGCCTACTACAATCATATTTAACCAGTTGGTGATATATAAATAAATAAACAGATAATAATTTATGCCACATTTTTATTATGGGAAGGTTTCCTGAATAAAAATGCTACACAATTGACCGGCAGATATCTAGAAGTTTAGACATATTTGCATCCTTACATTTCTCTCTATAAATGTCTACATGGACATTAAGAAAAATTATGTATTTTGACCTTTACGTGGAATTTCATTTCTCCAATTTCAGAAGTGGATGACAAGAAGTTATTAACATATTGAAAGTTATAAGAAGTATGGGCTTAACCTAAAAAATAATTATTACTAATTCCATTCAAAACTTTGCTAAAAGCAAATAGAGACTATGTAGTACTAGGGAAAAAATAGAGTTGGCCAATTGTCATTTAGAATTTTCTACTTATTTTCAGGTTGTGGTGCAATCCTTACAAGTTCTTCTGGAACATTCATGTCTCCCAACTACCCTATGCCCTATTACCAAAATATGAAATGTTACTGGCTGCTGAAGTCAAGTCATGGAAATGTGCTTGAAATCTATTTTGATCAGTTCCATTTAGAGTCTCATCCATCCTGTTACTTTGATTATCTTGCTGTAAGTCTTATTTTCTATGAGGAAGAATGATAATAGCTAACAATAATAGTTGAAATATCAATTTATGCAATATAAGTTTTCCACTGTGGGAGTAATCTCAGATCTATATATCTACCATGTTTCTCAGAAAATAAGGCCAGGTCTTACTTTCTTTTGACCCCCGAAAAAACAGCTAGGCCGTCTTTTCGGGGATGACTTAATTTCTCCCCCCCCTCGCATCCTTGCCCAGAGCAGCCACGCCTTGCCACCAGCTGCTCCTAACAGCCGATCATGGCGGAGTACAGAGGGCTCCCTACCCCCACCAAGCGCCTTTGCTGCAGCCCCGGGTATGATGCTGGCTGCAGGCAGGTCAGTGGGCGGACGGGCAGGCAGTGGCGTGGATGTCAGCCTTGGTGGCAGCGGGCCACTTTGCACCACTGCCGCTTCTTCCGCCACCATCGCTTTCCCTTCTGCCCTCGCTGCAGCTTATGCCATGTTCAGACTGCTGCCATTGGTCAAGACACAGAAACTGGAGTCTGTACTGGACATCGTGGCGTGGCAGTAGCGGAGAAGTGGCCCTTCCAATGGGTGGAGGAATGGATCGAGCACGGCCGCCTTTCAGCTGCTTCTCAGGCGGGGCAGCAGTGTTTCAGTCACTTCTCGGGTGGGGGAGCTGCCCCAGTAAGCTTCCATGGTTCCCACTGGCGGTGGCACTTCTCTCGCCAGTGCCGTCTCCAACAACAGTGGCAGGAGCAGTGAGACAGACCCCGCTGCCGACAAGAACCGCCTGCCCTCCCGCAGGGGCATTGCTTTGCTTGACGGTGGCTGCGTCCACAATATCCTGCAAGTCAGTGAGTCATTCGGGCTTCGGTGGGTGGAAGTGGCGGTGGGAGAGTGATGCCATCCTTCCCCCACCACGCCTCGCTTTTCTTCCCACCCTAGAGCTTCGTGTCATGGTCTCGTTTCCTGTACGGTCGGGTGCTCTTCTTTTGCTCTCCTCTTGCTCTTCAATATCTTCATTAATGACTTAGATAAGGGAATAGAAGGGGAACTTACCAAATTTGCAGATGATACTAAGCTGGCAGGAATAGCTAACACCCAAGAAGATATGCTCAAGATCCAGATGTATCTTGACAGACTAGAACACTGGGCCAAATCTAACAAAATGAAATTCAATGTAGAGAAAAGTAAAGTCCTACACTTAGGTAAGTAAAAACAAAAGTACACATATAGACTGGGTGAAACCAGGCTCAATAGCAGTAACTGTGAGAGGGATCTTGGAGTCTTAGTGGACAACGAGCTAAATATGAGCCAGCAGTGTGCAGCAGCAGCAGCCAAAAAAGCTAATGCAATCCTAAGTTGTATTAACAGAGGGATACAATCAAGATCAAGGGAGGTACTAATACCACTCTATAAAGCCTTAGTAAAACCACACCTAGAGTACTGCATCCAGTTTTGTTCACCACATTACAAAAAAGATGTTGAGACTCTAGAAAAAGTACAGAGAAGAGCAACCAGGATGATTAGGGGACTGGAGGCTAAAACATACAACGAATGGTTGCAGGTACTGGGCTTGGCTAGTCTAGTAAAGAGAAGGACCAGGGGAGACATGATAGCGGTCTTCCACTATTTGAGGGGCTGCCACAGGGAGGAAGGGGTCAAGCTATTTTCCAAGACACTCGAAGGCCAGACAAGGAATAATGGATGGAAACTGAACAAGGAGATATTTAACCTGGAAATAAGGAGAAACTTTCTGACAGTGAGAACAATCAACCAAAGGAACAGCTTGCCCTCAGAAGTTGTGGGAGCGCCATCACTTGAGACTTTCAAGAAGAGATTGGACTGCCATTTGTCAAAAATGGTGTAGGGTCTCCCGCTTGGGCGGGGGGTTGGACTAGATGACCTACAAGGTCCCTTCCAACTCTGATTATCTGTTATCTGTTCTAGCTGCCTGAACCCACCCCCATGGACCTTTTACCCCCTTTTTAAGTTTTCTTTATTCTCATTCCCTCCGTCTGTTCCCTAAGAATAAAGACTGGCTGGGCAGCTTCGTCCCCATCCCTCCCAGTAGTTTTAAAAAGGGAACCATCTATCCATTTTGCCCTTCGAGCAGAGGCAAACCTTCCAATAAAAACAGTCTGAACACGGCATAAGCAGCAGCAAGGGCAGAAGGGAAAGCGATGGCGGCGGAGGAAGTGGCAGCGGTGCAAAGTGCCCCGCCATCCCCGAAACTGACATCCACACCGCTGCCGCCTGCCCGCTGACCCGGCCTGCAACCAGCACTATACCCGGGTCTGCAGCAAAGGCGCTTGGTGGGGGGAGGGAGCCCTCCATGCTCTGCCATGATTGGCCATTAGGAGCGGCTGGTGGCAAGGCATGGCTGCCCGCAGGCCAATCCTAACAGCAAGTTCCCCCCTGCCCTTCTCCCCCACTTTGCATGTTTTAAATAGGTCTAAATTTGGGGGGAGGGGCTTAATTTCACCTCATGCCTAGAAAACATGCTGGGCCTTCCTATTGGGGGAAGCGTATTGTTGGAGAAACACGGTAGAAGAAAAAGAGTATTACCTACATCTGCCATGGGGAGATACAGAAGGAATAAAGATTTATTTTGGGCACTCTGTAACTGGCCCACATTTATGGCTATTTTCAGCATCCTGTAGTCATGTGAACATAATTTATGATGTTTTTGCATAATTTCCAGTTTTTGGCAAAAGCCATCCAGTAGCAAACAATGTGTTTGCTTAATGAAGGTCATAAAATCAGGCATGGTTACATTGTGACCCATTTTACAAATTATGATTGAAATTCTGACCTCAGCTATGATCATTAGTCTAGGACAGGAATCTCCAACCTCGGCAACTTTAAGACCTGTGGACTTCAACTCCCAGAATTCCTCAGTCAGCAAAGTTGAAGTCCACAAGTCTTAAAGTTGCCAAGGTTGGAGACCCCTGATCTAGGACTACCTCTATATCACTTCAGCTTCATTTCAATCTTGTTAGGTAAAAAGGATGTTTTTTCCTTTCAGTTATTTTCAAGATGTTAGATTTATGAATTGCTAAACTCTTGGGAAGATAGGATTATAAAAATGCCTGTAACCTTATCAGCTTGAACTCTTTAATTGCTATCAATGATGGAGCTGCCAATAATGTAAGATGTAGGATGGGAAAAAGGCTGCCTCTTCTTTTGGCATGGGGAGAATCTGCTCTCTTATCAAACCAGTCCTTTTTTTTCAATCTTAAACTTTTTCCTAGAACGAGGTCAAGATTTTCCTTGGAGCAAGGAAGTGATTCATGGCATATATTATGTATCATGTAGAGCTGTGGTGGCTCAATGTTAAAATGCAGTATTGCAGGCTAACTCTGCTCACACTGCTAGGAGTTCAATTCCTTTGATCTTGACTGGCTCATTAGCCCATTCATGATTAGGCAACATTTAAGAACATTGATTGCTGGCTGATAATAGCCTAAGTCATATTTCCAAGAAAACTACATGAACTTATCTATAAAATAATCAAAAGCAGACTTCAATCCCCAAAAAAACTTTGTTTGCCATATATTAATTTTTAAAAATATATATATTTATATATCCCAATAACTGCAGGTGTATGATGGCAACAATAGCAACAGTACCATGTTAGGCAAGTTTTGTGGTAATCAGATCCCATCCACAATACGTTCTTCTGGCAATACTATGTATATAAATCTAAATACAGGCTACTCTTTAAATGGAAGAGGTTTCCTTGCTCATTTTAAGCAAGGTAAGTTGAAATATTTTAATTAAGTCCTACCAGCTCAAATACATTTGCAGCATATTTGAATGAACATATAGAACCGTTTTAAGTGTGTGATACACTTAGGATAATAGGCAAATTATCTTGAATTGAAAAGATAAAGGAGGCCTAGCTGATCTAATTATTGTCCCACCTTTCTATTAGAAATTCAGGACAATGTAGATTTTTAAAAATTGCACTATTATCATTATAAAAATGTGTATGTGTGTGTTTGTGCGCACACATGTACACGTATGTTCAAATTAGCCTTGATTCCTGACAATTTGGCAGAAGTAATTTGCAACTGCTTTTTTCCCAGATTTAGAGAATCAACGGCGCAAAGGCCCTCAGGTAGTTTGTGTGCCTAAGGCGGGCTTAGAATTTAAAAGTGTCTTTAACTAAAAGTCTGCAGAGACTTTCAATCATCCAGGTTATGTTAAAGGTGCTTTTTCAGGAGGCAACTGGATTTTCTTGTTTTTTTCTTTTGAAGATGTTTCACTTCTCATCCAAGAAGCTTCTTCAGCTCTGACAGGATTGTGAGGAATGGAAGGATTTATTTTCTTTGCAGACAGCTGGTAATTTACATCCTTTTAGAGCATTGTTTAGACTTTTAGCTATACAATTTGGGATGGACACCCTTTGAATGGTATGGGAATAGGAATGGATTTCCAGAGGAAAAATTGCAGACTGCAGGAACCAGGAACATCACTCAGGTGATCCTGAGGACACAAGCCTCCAAGTGCTTTAAAGATCCTCTAAAAAGATGCAAATGACCAGCTGTCTGCAAGGAATATAAATCCTTCCATTCTCCACTGTTCTGTCAGAGCCGAAGAAGCTTCTTGGATGAGAAGCAAAACATCTTCAAAAAAGCAATAAAATCCAGTTGCCTCCTGAAAAAGCACCTTTAACTGCTACTTCAGACTCTCCCTCTATCATGTTAAAATGGATAAAATAGGAGATACGGTGTACTTGAAAAAAAAATCTAAATTATCCAGAATTATCCTAGTTACTACTTTATGTATGGATATTCTTTTATTTTCCACCATCTATTATTTCAGGATATTTATTCAAATCACAAAGTCCCTTGCTATTTCTCAGAAAACTTTTTCATCTGCAAACTGCCTGAAGCTACAGCATCATTTCGAGTAGTCTAGATATTGCATTCACAACCTTGTCTTTCCAAAAATGACATTTATTAAGAGCATGGAAGACAAAAAAGAATTCGTTGGAGAAGATCAATAGGTGGGATTCTTATCTGAAAATGTTTCTGATCCTTTTTTGAAAGTCATTCTTACATTAAAGGTTATTTGCATTCTCAAGGTTTATTTTGGGCTTTAGAATTCTGTACTTTATTTTAAAATTAAAATATGTACCCCTTTTTGTAAGGTTATCATATAAACACCTAACTACTGATCGAACATAATGATACCAATTGATTCTTTACATTCTTAAAACAGAAATATAGGATATAGAAAATGTATATTTTTAATTTTTTTTCTTCCAAGTTTGCCAGGGAATAATAATTGCCAACCAGTCCCAAGGCATTTTGGAGAGTTTGGACTATCCTAACAACTATCCTCCAGGTGTATATTGCAACTGGACCATCCAAACTATAACTGGTAACACCCTGAACTACAGTTTCCAAGCACTTAGCACAAAAGGCGGTGACAGATGTAAACGTGACCATTTAAAGGTATGAAATGCAAATCTTATCCTCTATTTTGAAATATAGTATTAAATATATCACTCCTAATAGAGGGAGCATCTATAGCACTCCTTTCTGTTCCTTCCAAGCCTGAAGACATTGCTCTTTCATTATTAGTTCTAATCAGGTGATAATCATTCCATTCCACTTCTAGTTTCCCAGCTTATAGTTTGAAGCATCAGGTAGAAAGTGTCACACTCAGTGGCAAGCACAGAGGTATTTCTTTGCTCCTCTGTTTAATGTTTAAGTTGATTGTGGATAACTGTTGAAAAAACAGCATTCTTATTAAAGGTTAACCCAGACTAGAAACTTTCTGCAATAAAGCTTCCTTGGTGCTTAAATTTCCAAAAGCCCATATCTGCTTGTACATCTTTCATTCTCCATTAATAATTTATTTCTAGTTAAATCCCTTAAAGATTAGGAACAATCAGACTAGTATATCATTTAATATTAAAATTTACTGTTTTTCATACTACTTGAAAATACTTGAATAACTGAGCTATTATAGCTCTCTGAGTTTATTGTACATGTTTTCACAGCTTTTTCAAGCCAAAAATGAACACTTCAGTTTGATGGCTATGATATGACGCATGCTCCCCTTTGATTTGGTTTAGGGGTTTTTTAGAGGTATCTAATTCTTTTTATTTAAGTATACTGATAAAATTCAATATGCAGTCAATGTTTTGCATTTTTTGCCAAATTTTGATGATAGAATGTCTCCAAATATTACAAAAATCGCACTGGGAGTAGCCTATAGTTTAGAAAGTACTAACTGCTCACCACTTTCTCTTGTAAAAAAAATAAGCTGTTAATCTCTATCTCAATTGTGACTTGTTATAATATGGAACAGAAAAGGCAACATTGCCTGAATTTAATTTTATCACTATTCTACAAATATTATTTTACAACATATTTTAAAACATGAAGTTTGATAATAAAATTTGACTAGTAAAATGATAATTACAGATGAAATCTGCATTGGCTCCTACATAGACTTCTGTAAAGCCTTTGATTCAGTGATACACGACAAACTACTCCTAAAAATAAAATCCTATGGTATCTCTGGACAACTGCATAACTGGATAGAAGCATTCCTGTCAAACAGACAACAAATGGCCAAAATTGGGAGGGTCCTATCAAATTCTGTACCTGTCAATAGTGGTGTCCCCCAAGGCAGTGTTCTAGGACCAACTCTCTTCATACTCTACATAAATGACCTCTGTGATCATATTAAGAGCAATTGCGTTCTTTTCGCTGATGATGTAAAGCTGTTCAATACCACAGACAATACTGCTACCCTACAAAAAGATCTTGACTATGTATCAGAATGGTCAAACAAATGGCAACTTCAAATCTCAACAAATAAATGCTCTGTCTTACATATTGGCAAAAAAAATCAGAAAATAAAATACAAGCTGAATAGTCAAGACCCAAGCTCTGTAAAGGACCTTGGAATACTCACCTCTAGTGATCTAAGTGCTAGAGCCCACTGCAACTACATAGCCAAAAAGGCATTAAGAGTTGTTAACCTAATCCTACGTAGCTTTTTCTCTGGTAATATCACACTACTAACCAGAGCATACAAAACATTTGCTAGACCAATACTCGAATACAGTTCATCAGTCTGGAACCCACATTACGTATCTGAAATTAGCACAATTGAGAAAGTCCAGAAATATTTCACAAGAAGAGTTCTCCACTCCTCTACTCATTGTAGAATACCTTATGCCACCAGACTTAAAATTCTAGAACTAGAAAACCTTGAATTACGTCGTCTTCGGTCTGATTTAAGCATGGTATATAAAATCATACATTGCAATGTCCTACCTGTCAATGAATACTTCAGCTTCAACCATAACAACACAAGAGCACACAATAGATACAAACTCAAAGTTAACCGCACCAAACTTGATTGCAGGAAATACGACTTCAGCAATAGAGTGGTCAATGTCTGGAATACTCTACCCGACTCTGTAGTTTCTTCCCCAAACCCCAAAAACTTTAACCTTAGACTGTCTACTATTGACCTCACCCCTTTCCTAAGAGGCCTGTAGGGGGCGTGCATAAGCGCACCAACGTGCCTACCGTCCCTGTCCTATTGTTTCTCTTATTCTTGTTTTATTTTTCTTATATGTACCCATTTCATGTATTCACAACTATGTATACACTTATACTTATTATCTTGTAAACAATTGGCAAATCAAATAAATAAAAATAAAAATAAATAAATTGAAGCATACTACAGAAGATCTGCTTTTTTAAGGCTTCCCAATAAGGAACTTTTATTGAATTTGTAACAGCCCACCTCTTCTTATAAATATTATATGCATTAGCTTATGCATCTGATCCTTAAATAGTTAAGACATTTAGCATCAGGCCATCTGAAGCAGAAGTAAAACCACAGTAGTAATCTACAGGATGCAAGAAGAAATGCCCTCTAATTATAATAAGCCTCAAATGACTAACAGACTGTTTTTCCATGGTGCCACCAAAGAGATCGGGGCGGGGTCTCAGACAACTAAATCCTAAAATGAATGACTAATGGCTTATTTTTAGTTGTATGTGTTTTTCAGCTCACACACATTATCATGTTAAAGCAACGTGCCTTTTTCCATTGTTGCAAGAAAACAACGACAGTCCTGCTGCTGTAAATTGTATTGCTTTATCATAGAAAGGAGAAATTTGGTCCCACTCTCAGATGTTTAAATCCCAACTGGCAGTCAGAAATCATGAGAACTATTGCTACTATATCTAGAATGCTCCAAGTTATTTATTCCTGGTTTGCCACAACTCCGGGTTTCTTTATGTACACATTTGACTCATGGAGTGAGTTCTCATCAAAGGAGAAACAATGTTAACCATGTTTAGTGATTAGGAATTGTTTTCATAGGCTTTCCCAAATAACCCCAATGCAAGGAAAGTAAGGAGAAGTAAAGGAACATCTAATAGATAACTGGCATGCTTTTGAATGATTATGTATCTATATAAATAGATGGATATAAATGAATAATCAAAGTATGAGTATATATATACATGTATACTCATCCATTGATTATCCATCCATATTCATTCATCTTTTTTTATAAAGGTTTTTTTTATTTTTAGACAAACATACACAAACAAAACATAAAAACATAAAGCCATCTTCCAATTACATACATACAGTGTGTTGATTGGTTACAGATTTTTTTGTGCTCCCTCTCCATAGTCCTCACTTACAAATATTTGTATATATTCTCATAATATCAATCAAATATTTCTAAGTATATTATTATCATTGTTAATCATTCATTTGATTGTGCTATTGTTCCTTCATGTTATGCAAGATGTTCCATATTTTTAAATTGGTTTATATCATAACAATTCATATTATCATCCTAAATCCATCCAATAATAATACATCTTTATATTATATTCTATATCATTCTATTCTCCTTATATTGTAAAATTCTACATATTTCATTACCTTATTTTATTTTCTAACCATTGATAAAATAGATCCCAAATCTTATAAAATCATTTATCTTCTTGTTCTCTAATTTCAAATGTCAATTTACTCATTTCAGCACATTCCATTATTTTCTTAATAACTTCCTCCTGCATTGGTATTTTCTCATTTTTCCAATTTTTAGCAAATACAATCCTAGCCGCTGTTAATACATTTACAATCAAATATTTCAATTCCCTACTGTACATTTCAGGTAAAATTCCCAATAAAAATATCTCTGGTTTCAAGTCTATGTGTTTCTTTGTCATTTTTTCCAACCTTGTGTGGATTTTAGTCCAATATCTTTTAGCTTCTGCGCACGTCCACCACATATGGTAATATGAACCCGGTGCCTGATGACATTTCCAAAATTTTTCAGATTTGTTCTTGAACATTCTTGCTATTCTTGTTGGGGGTAAGTGCTACCTGTAAAACATCTTATACAAGTTTTCTTTATATGCTGTTGACATTGTCATTTTATAATTTTGAGACCACAATTTTTGCCATTTCTCTAAATCAATCCCATATCCCAAAATTTTCCCCCAAGCAATCATTGTTTCTGTAACTTGTTCTTCTTCTAGTTTAATTTCTAATAAATATCCATACAATTTTTTAATCACCTTTTCATCAGTACCTGTCAAAATCTTATCTAAATCAGTCAGTTTATCATAAAAACCTTCTGTTTTAAAATCTTTATCATATCTAGAGCATATTTGCATGTATGAAAACCAGTTCATCTTTATACCTTGTTATTCTAATTCTTGCATAGATTTAAGTTCACTCTTTTCATTCAATATTTCACCATATCTAACTGTTTGTTCCTTTTTATAGTTTAAGAAAATGCTTCAATAGTCGATAACCAGACTGGAATTTTTAAATAGCATTGCTTTTTAGTCTTCTCCCGGTTTAATAACAAAGCCTCACGTATATAATGTCTTCTAAAATACCCCTGCGTTTTAGTTCCCTTGTACCATAGGAAAGCATGCCACCCCAACAACAAATCATGTCCTTCTAATGTCAATAATCTAGTATTTCTTAGTGTTATCTATTCCTTAACCCACATCAGGTTTGTTGCTTGATAATATAACTCCCAGTTAGGCAGGCCAAATCTTCCTCTTATTCTAGCATCTTGCAACAGTTTTAATTTTTTTCTTGTTTTCTTTCCCTGCCATATATACTTCAACACTATTTTATTTAAATCTTCAAAGTAGTCTTTCCCTAGCCTAATTGGAATTGTCTGAAACAAATATAAAATTCTAGGTAGTATATTCATCTTAATTGTTGATATTCTCCCTATTAGTGATAATTGTAATTTTCCCCATTTTGCCAGATCTGTCGCAATCTGTTGTTTGAGTTTAATATAGTTATTCTCTTTAAGTGTACTACATCTTGCTGTCAAATGTATCCCCAAATACTTAATCTTATTTGTGACCTGGATTTTCAAAACATCTGCCAATTTTTCCTTTTGTCTTATCAACATATTCCTTGTCAAGATCTTCAT